CTCGGACGTGCTGAATGAAAAATGAAAAGTCCTGAATGAACCTGGATATATATAGTTAATTCAACATAGCTTATAAAACATTTGCATTTTCATTCAAGAAGAGTCAAAAGTAACATGTGATAAAAATATTTAATTTTAATATGCATAAAATGAGCTTGCATTATCGTTGTTATCAGTTACACATTATTACATAATTATACACAATTAAAACACATTATACATAACAATGAAAACACTAATTGAAACAAATGATAATACAAATCTAAAAAGTTTAATCCTTTAATTTCATCAAAATTCCTCGTAAAAATACTTAAAAAAAAGACTTTTGTTCATAAAAAAAACTTAGTGAGTCAACACACTGTAAAAGTGTTAATATTGAATAAAAAAATATCTGGGGTTAGAAAAATGTGTTTACATACTGTAAAATTTTCAATATCTTAATATATAATATATATATAATTAAGAACATATATTTACATAACAAAATACTGTAAAAATATATATATAATTATATACAGTACACAATACTATAAAACATTAAAATGCGATATTATTCACAGTCTACGTTAATCACATATATATGTACTCTTGCTCTAATTTAAAAATATGTATATACATGTAGTTAAATACACTGTCTATGTTCATCACAAAACCAATCACTACTAACTCCTGCACAAGTTTGATGGGTCCATTTGCTACACTTAACTCTTCCTCTTCTACCTTCGCATCCTATCATATTTTCGTATCGATCGGGCTTCCCACATACGCAGATACATTCAATCTTTCTCTGGTCTACTTTCACATGAATGTCAGAAGAAACGTCTAACATCTTAGGAAATTCAATAAGATATCCTTGTTCCAAACAACTTACAAGATGAGTTCTCATTGATTGTTCGTCGTAATCTATCTTTAAACGAGGGTTAAAATTTTGATTCACACAAAATTCCATTAAGTTAGCCAGAGCATATAATCCACAGTCATTTCCATTAGGTTGTTGTTGCACTTCTGGTATTTTCACGTTGAAGCTTTTCTTCTTATCTCCATATATTGCAGCCAACTGTATTTCTAGACTCGCTGTTATAGTGTGTAAAGAGTTTAGACTGTCTAGAACGTGTACTGTGGTGTCTCTTGTTTGCTGAAGTGACGTAACCCAGTGTGATCTGCACACACGGAGCTTTTTTTTGCCTGAAATGTTCCAAATTCGTGAGTCCAACTCTTTGTATTTTTCATTGAACCTCGGTGCCAATGTAGTTGCCTGAAAATAAGAAATTCCTGGAAATTGTGTTTGTACAATATCGGTACAAGTGTTAATGATGTCTGAGCAAAGCCAAGTATTAGTATATTAGTAAGTATCTTTCTTTTTGTGCTCGAGCGTAAGACCACTTACCCATGGTGTTTTATCTGAAAATGTTTGCATCGACAGTTTTCTCTTTTTTACTGGTAGTGGGCATGTACTTCGAGGTGAAATGGTGTGTATGTCTGCTTGTTTGTCTGCAAAACGTAGTCGCTTTCCTGTACATGGAGTTTTTACCGTAGGTGTTTTAAGCTGTTTAGGTGTCCTTGGTGACAAACTAATCGGGCTGCAAGGAGGAGATGAAATTTCTGTCGCGACTGCCTCAGAATCTGGAGCAGGTACCACATCAATGTCATAGTCATTTGCTCTAGGCTTCTTCCTTCCTGACTTTTTATCGTTCCTTTTTAAATTTTTCCTTGATAACATTCGTAGGTTGATAATTTTTGGTTTGCTGTCAATTTCATCTCCTAAACAACTTTGCTGCAATAATGTGATAGCAATGTGTGGTTGACGGACACTGGCATGTTTCCTTCGGTAAAAGTGTTACGGCGTAGTTTGTTCCCTGTGTTCCTTTCACCATGAAGGCTCGCTGCTGTTGAACAAAAGTAACGTGTCCGCTTTCCACTGCCAATCTGGCTAGAGATTTCTGTGTTAGATCTTTATTCTGCAGAGTTTTCTCATTTGAAACAATTATACCTGCTTCACTTTGTAATATGGTATCTGTATTCGTTACCATTTCGGTGTCAACCGGTTCATTCTCTACGGAATCAGATTGTTTTTCTGTGTCAGCATTCGAGTTTTGCTCTGTAGTGCCATCTTCTCTAATTGTGTCAATCTCTGCCATAACATGTTGCACAATATCGTCTGGTTTTATCAAATGTTTGGGGATTGATATCTCATCTTTTGGAATTTGAGCGTGTGAATACTGTACCCGAAGTGAATAGTTTCCGATCCCAACTAATCCACGCTGAATTTCTGTTGTATAATAGATCTGTAAGTAGAACATACTCAAAACAAAACAATCTACTGGTAACTCTTTAAATTTATTCAATCGTTTGATCACAGCGTTCATGGTCTCACAGGAATTGTTAGTTAATCCTGAAAAAGAATCATACAAATTTGGATATTTCTCAATAATCCACTTGCCACAATGTTTTAATATGTCTTTTTCAACTTTCATGAAGTACGAGTTTACACCTTGTGACCACTTGCTCACTAATAACTTTTTTCTTTCTTCATAGCCTTGTTCACTGGAGGATCTTAATAGTTCCCTTACGTTAGAAACGTACACTGCAATATTGTCAGAAGCAGCTCCCATTTTCTGTAAATTGAACTTGAAGTCGTTTATTACATGATTCCAGCACATTACCACGTCACAATTTGAAAAGTTCTTCATTATAGCATTAACCAGTCCTGGCTCTCTGTCAGTTACAAATGGTATAGCTTTCTTGTTCAATTTCGGAAATAACGATGCTACAAAATCGAAAAACTTAGAATGTACTTTTTCCTTCTTTCTCCCATGAATCAAAAACGCAACTGGCATGATTGGTTCATCTTCAAAGATTATGTTTCGAAACACTAGCGGTGACACATAAAAGTCACCAAGCTTGAAAGTTGTATCGTAAAAGAACACAAATGGAATATCATCAGTAGTATTCACATCAAGCAACTGATTCACTATCGAAATCATATCTGGTAATAATGGATGTTAAGTCTGGAAAAACAGTAACTTCATGGATAAATCCTTCCAAATGATAAGCCAATAAAACCAAATTATAAATGTCATCTTTGCTGATTCGCTTGTCTTCATTAACTTTTCTCACGATATTTTCCACTTGCTTTACATTTCTTGCATTCAAAATGCCTTGATTAGTTCCAGGTACTGCATGATCACAAACACTTTCTCTATATATAGCCATGGCCGTCTTGTCACGAGGTTGTAATGCGTTCTCCATCCTCCTAAGTACAGATGGAGCTGTCCTAGCAAACTCTGAGTCAGTTTTCTTGCTGTTACCGTGATGGGTCAGAACATAAACGGTTGCATCACCTTCATAATACACCAAAACAAGTTTCTTATTGTCTCTAAAGTAATAAGCAGTTCGCTTGAAATCTAAAGATCCGACTGGTCTTTTTTTCTTTTTGGCGTTGTTAGTCCTCATTCCGGGTAGTTTTATCTTATAAAACTTTTTTTCCAAAATTTTGTCCCCGATTATCACTGAATTATTGCCGTAATTTATCCACTGATATTGGTCACATTTCCAATCGTCTTCATGCTCACTTTTAATTAGATAAAGATCATTTGCACAGGGTTTCATCGGCGGGATGTCCGAAATACGAGATTCATCTTGGTCACATAGAATGTTCAAAATATCACTCTAGTTAAGGGTGTTGGTTGTTTGGTAAAGCACAACTCCCCCACCTTTAACTTGTTGAGTGTTTCGTCTAAGTGTTGTCACCGGTCGTAGTAAAGCCTGAAGTGTTGGTTTTGGTGTTGGTAGTACTGGAAAGACAGCATCATAGTTGGAAACATGTAACTGTGCTGCTGACACTGTAACTTGTTTCTGCTAATAATAATAAAAAAAAATATTTTATTGTGTCACATATTGATTGACGAAATATTAACATTTCACAGTATTGAAGAAAACAATCATTAACCAATCATAAATTTGACTTATGAGACACTTACCACATGCTATGTACATATCAACATAGTTTCACATGAAGAAAATACATCAAATTATCATCAAAAAAGTTTAAATAAGTTTATTAATTTTAAAACATATATATTTTGAGCAAAATGAAAAAAAATCTGAAATGAGTGCTGTTTAAAAAACAATATATATGTATGACTTTAAAATATTACCTGCAAAGCGATTCGGACTTGTGTCTGAAAAGCGTCTCGGTCTTGTGTCTGCAAAGCGTCTCGGTATGGTGTTAGTCTGGTGTGTTCAGCTAGTAAAGCTAATGGCAATGCAAGAGACATTCTGATATAATAACGTTGGAAACTATACTTGTAAGCAATTTGTTGAATATTTTTATTCTGACTAAAAACGATTCAAAATTGACTATTTATAAAAAGTTAGAGCGTTGATCTGAATTCACTGATTATTTGATATATGCTTATATATTTTATTTGTAAAGTTTATAGTTAAATTTGTGTCCGAGCAATATTTAGTTCTTAGAACATACTCACCCCTTCTCTTCCAATGAAAAGTCAGTTAACAACTTAATAATGGAAAAAGGAAATGTGGATCAGTGTCATCACAACTAAGTTTAGATTTTTTGACAGTTAATAACAAAGTGTTTGATGTTAGTTCTTTACAGATCTCAAAACAAGATAAATTTGTATCGAGTAAGAATTCATTAAACTCTTTTAAAAGAAAGGAAGCAATGCAGACAGATTTGCAGTCAAATGACGGGTAACATTAACAATCATTGATCATGTGATTCTCATTACCACATCTTACCACATTTCTTTTATCATCTTCAATATTTAGGAACTATACCTAGCCAATAGTGCTGAAAGTGATGTTAAACACCAACAATCAATCAATCAACTCAACAATATCAGTAGGATTGTTGATATGAGTAGAATGGTAGATTTAAGAATAAATGTAAATTGGTGTTTCTGACAGTGTTGTGATCTATAAATGGATAGACTTTCATTTGAACCGCCCTGGTTGACAGAAATAAGCAAAATACACAGGTAAGAGTGGTTCAAATGAAAGTCTTGCCCTATCAAAGGTGATTTCAACCATATGAGTTTTTTTCTTCTAATTTTGTAAGTTTGTCTTGGACCAGATTATAGATGTGATTTGTCATTGATATTGAACAATTATGTATATAAGAACAATTTATTTATGATTTTAGTTATTTTTTATTATTGTGTATATTATTTTTTAATTTATAAGATTTACTGTACTGTTATCTAAAAGTCTTTGGTCATCATTTAGTGTATCCCATGAAAAGATTTAAATACTCACACAATACACAACACATGTACTACTCTTAAAAATCAGAATCATACCCAGACCAACAACATGAATATCAGGAAACATCTATTTCAAAGGTATTTTGAATTATTTAATGTAAAGGTGGTATATTATTCAGCCTTACACTTTGCTTCAGATAAGATTACTTACAACACTATAAACAATACAAAACACTTATAAACAATTCTACAAAGAGAACTTCTAGTCATTTATTAAACAGCCAGTTATGAAAGATAAAGAATTTGTCAGTTATACTCCAGCAGTTATAATTGATTCATCTCAGCCAACCAAGACTATTACATTTATGTTGTAAATAGTATTCTGTTTCATCAGAAGTTTTAAGTAATGGATTTTTGCTTTCATATAAAATTATCATTAGAACTAAAAGTGTGATTGAAACAATATTTGCTAATTTTTCTGCTTACTTTTTTGACACATGAAGATATTCAAAAATATTTCAAAATGAATATTCTGTTTTATTCAATTTTTTATATGAATTATCACAACAGCTTGCTAGATGTATTAAAACTCTTGAAAAAAAAAGTTCTTATATATATATATATGTATCATAAGTTGTGAATAGTTTCATATTTCTATTTAAATAAACAATGCAGATTTGAGATTGCCTTATGTCATATTAGAAAACAATTTTAACATGACTGTTAGCTTATCAGACTTTTTTTTGTATCGTTTGAAGAAATTTGACAACATCATTTTGGGTGATGATAAGTGATTATATTCTTTTTTATTCTATTGCTTTCCTAATGTCATCTCTGTTCACATATTCATAATCAAAATAAAACAAAAATTGTGTATACATTTTTAAAAACACAATTGTGATCAAAATTGAATATAATATAATCAACTTCCGAATGTGAATTTCAAAGGCAGTATTCAGCATAAGGAGGCACAATTATATATCAATTTGAAAAAAGCCAAATTTTATAAGCTCACCTGGTCTAAAGGTGACTTCTCCTCTGAAACAACTGGACCAATTGGAACTTGACCTCAATCAAGCTTGGGGTATCTATTTTAAAAAAAGTTGTCTAATGATTCTGCCTGCCAAACAAACTTAAATAGGACATAGGGGTGAAATACAAGAGTTGTCTATTATCTTGTAAACCATTATATATTGGGTTAAAATGTCGATATTAGAAGTGTTCAGAATGTCAAGATTTACCTGTACGGTACCTACTGTTCCTTTTAACAAAGACAGTCTGATGATTCATTATAGGAGGTATTGCCATTAAATGACGATTTTGGGATTTCGCAAATGACAGGTAGTCTGTGCATTTATGTTTCAACAGTTGAGAGTACACGATGTTGATTAGTGGTACTTTCTCGTTGTCTGGACAGTTACAGGTGTCTTACTTCGTATTATCTGCTACAATGGCTTATCCAGTTTTCAATATCTCTGGTCATGCCATACCATACAAATCGATCTCTTGACTATTGAAAGTGTCTTGTCATGGACCTGATGTCCCATGTCATCGTGTAGTGCTGTTAGGACTGTTGTAATACAGGATTCTGGTAAAACTAGTTGATTCACATGCTCTTGGTCTATGTTGGTCACTCTGAATAGTATGCCTTCTTCAAGAATTTGCTTGTCAAAGTTGTAGATGAACCAGATGTTGCATGGCTATATATTTTGATGGTGTTTTGTTGGCTTTCTATGTTCTTGGACCCAGTACAATCATTTTTTCATTACTGTGCTTTCTGTAAAGATGATCTTTGAACTTCTCAGTGAGAGCCCATTTCAAAGCGAGGAAGTCAAGCTTGGAACTATAAAAAAGTGTCATACAAGTGGGAGGTTTAGCTAGCTATAATACTAGGTTTAACCCATCATTTTTTTCTCGGAAAATCCCTGTACCAAGTAAGGAATATGACAGACATACGCTACAGTTCTTTACTTGGTTTCTTATTCTTAATAGAGTACAGCACCAAGTTCTAGCATAGAGGCGCCAGAATGCAGCTCAAAAGGTTTGTTATAACGTTGAAATCCAAACACTGGCGGCTTCTGTAGTTGAGACTTCAAGTGGTTGAATGCTCTTTCTTGTTGTTCACCCCAAATCCAGTTCGATGGTTGTTTCGAGTTGGTCTTAGACTTGAATTGCGCTGGCATTAGATCTGGTATAGTCATGACGATTTTGTTAAATTACAAGTCTTTCAATAATAACTTTTTTATGATAACTAACAAATCCGAATAAAACTCTTTCTTGTGACGTTGCTTTTGGCCAATTATAAACTTTCTCTAACTTGGCTGGACCAGGCTCATTTCTATTCTTGGAGACTATGTGGCCTATGTATTTTACTCAATCTTGAAAGAAGGTGCATTTCATGGGTGACAACTTCAGTCCACTTTCTTGTTATCTCTGTAAGACTTTCTCAAGACGATCAATGTGTTCCTCATAGCTGTCAGAAAATATGATAGGTCGTCTATGAATATGAATCAGATGTTGAGATGAAGGTCGCCTATGAACTCTTCTTTTATCCTCTGATATGTTGCTGGTCTGTTGATAGGTCCAAAAAAGGGAGATTGAACTCATAAAAATCTTGGAGGTCCTACTGTAAAGGCTGTTCTCTGTTTATGTGATTCATCATGCTTTGCTTGCTGATATCCATACTGCAGATTAAGTACGTAATAACAGCTGTTACCGCAAAGAGCGCCTAAGATCTCTTCGCCCCGTGGAAACGCATAAGACTGAATCACGTAAGGTCTGGTTGTTTAGTTGTCTATAGTCAATGCACTTTATGGGCTTCCCTTCTTTTTCCTACAAAGGACAACGTTAAATGACCGCGGAGAATGTAAATGACGGATGATACCAGCTGCCAGAAATTGTTGAAGGTGTTTGCAAACTTCTTCAAACATTTCAGGTGGTTTGCATCGATTTCACTGCTTAAATGACCTTTTGTCCTTCGAGTCTATTCGGTGGTGAACTCTTATCAGCGTGACCAATGTCGATCATACTGGAGTACTAAAGACATCTCTAAATTGACAAAGACGTTGCTTTCCCTGTTGTAACTGCTCATTGTTTGGTAGGTTTTTTGGTAGACTAACATCATACAGTATATCATGGTTGTTGGTATCTGACGTTTCAATGTCAGGAACTGGTACTGGTTGTACCTCACACAAGACTTAGAGAGTATTTTTTTCAGCCTGAAAGATAATTTCATATTTTGTCTTTTTTATTCTTTTAAAGAAATGATTATATCCACACGGTTCACGTCTATATTTAGGCATGGTGATTAAAACAAGAAAAAATATACACATATTACTGTACTGTAATAGAAAAACAGAGGGTATGGGTATCCATCCATGACACAAAATCAGTACATGCACAGCAAAAAAAAAAACACAATAAACTTTTATTGCTGTTCTTCATCTCAAATATAAGTAGGTTTTCTAAGATAAAATATCATTTTATTAATAATTATATATACTAGTAAGGCACAGACCATTCATGTATTGTGGAGGGGGGAGGTTTTGTTTCCATAAAAAAATAATGGCCGGGGAAAAAACACGACATTCAGTTTAAAAAAAATGCTGTATGCATTGAAGAAAATCGCCTGTTGTTAAATAAAGTCCGAAAAAGACTGTCACAGTCTGAGAAAGACGCATTCCCCAGAAACCGTATACAATGTTAGTGTTTAGTAATAAAGACGTATCTCATATCGATACTTACATTCTTGACACTAAGCATCTATTTTTACATATTCTTTTAAGACCGATTTTAGTTGGTAATTTCTTTCCTGATCAGAAGATTTCACTTGTTAATCGATCTTGATCCTGTAGTATTGTATTAGAAACCAATAAATATATTCGTATTAATTCAAATCAGCATGTACATGTACATGTAGTTTACATAAATGATTTGGATATAGACATTACACAAAGGTGTCAATATTTACACACCCATCGATAAGTTGTCATAAATCACACATGTTAAAGATTGGGTTAATTAACGACCAGTTGATCGAGGAAGTAAAATCAAGCTGTGTCTTGATTTTCGATCTAGATATCTAGATAAGCAGATACAGTAGCAATAAAACTATGCTAGAAAATGTTTTGGTGACCCCGACTGGGGGGCACGTGCCCCCTGTGCCCCCCGGTAAATTCGCCACTGTAATTTTAGAAGGTGTAATCAAGTTGTTCATATAGCCGTGAACGTTTAGTTGGTCGTTGGTAACGCAAGTCGTTATGATTGACATCAACCGTATGAAGTTCGTACCAGGAATGAGATTTTTTTATCGTAATTTTTTCTTGAGCAAAATATTGTTTTCATCTCAAAGGAATTATATATTTCAATTGCATATAATGGTGATATTTTTTTTTTACTGTCAAAGAACTACTTTTACGGTCGTGGCTTTTATATAACACTTTATTTAAATTCGTTCAATGTTGACGTGATGTTTATTTGGACCATTTATAATTAAAAAAAAACGAAACTTGATTGGTAGCATAATACTCAGTAGTACTATAAAACTAAAACCATAAGTGAGCATTTGCTATGATGAAAACGAAAATTGAAAATCCTTGTACGTTAAAATTGACAGATGTAATGGGCATACTATTAGTTATCTTGGTGTAATCAGGGGTGTACGGAATTTTCCACACCCCTGACATGTTACACCGAGATAACGAATTTATTTCTTATGAATCGTTCCTTTACTCATTTTTAAACCGGGATGTAAAATTGAAAAATTCTAATGAAGAATTCCCAGTGCAACAATTTTTCAACACCGATATTGCTGCGCATTGTCCAATATTTTTTTCTTTTTTTCTTTATTTTCAGGAAATTTGGAAATTGTTTTGTGTTTTTCTAATTTTGGGGAAAAAAATGGGTTACACTAAAGACCTGAAAGTGAACCTGAAAAGACCTGAATAGACCTGAATAGACCTGAAGATATACGACTCAAATTATTCAAATTGCAATAACTTTTTTATTATTCAATGGAATTTCCTCAAGTTAGAATTTTATTAAATGTTAATATCCATATTTCATTAAAAATTTTTAAATAAGAAACAATTTTTTGATGCCAAAAGTTGGACCTGAACGGGGAAATAAAAAGACCTGAACGGACCTGAAAATCTATGGTCGGACTTATTCTAACTTCAATAACGTTTTTAATATTCGATGGATATCGTTCAACTTTAGATTTTGTGAAACTAAAAGTTCAATATAATGATAATATTAAAAAAAAAATATACGAAAAATATCGTTGGGGTGTCAAAACTCGGACCTGAACGGAGAATAAAAAATCTGAATGAGCCTAAAATTCCGCTAATATTACATAGTACTTCAGTGGTTGTACTATGTAGCTCATTGTTGAAGGTCTTATGGTGACCTATAGTTGTTAACTTCTATGTCATTTGGTTGCTTGTGAGAGTAGTCTCATTGGCAATCATACCACATATTTTATATTCATATTGTATGTTTGCGACAAAACTCGGACGTGCTGAATGAAAAATGAAAAGTCCTGAATGAACCTGGATATATATAGTTAATTCAACATAGCTTATAAAACATTTGCATTTTCATTCAAGAAGAGTCAAAAGTAACATGTGATAAAAATATTTAATTTTAATATGCATAAAATGAGCTTGCATAATCGTTGTTAT